TGCGCTCCAGGTAAGCTTGCACCGGTGGGCGGGGTCCGTCTCCTGGGGCTGGGGTTGGGGGCTGGAGCCTGGCGTCAGCTCCCGAATCCGGGCCCGGTTTGAGGGCGGGGGCGTGAGTTGATATCCGCACAGAAGTAAGGACGGCGTCCTGGGCCAGGAGTCAAGGTCCGGGCGGGGGTCGGGAGCGGGGGTCGGAGGCGACCTTCGTGCCATCCGCCCTTCGACGGCGCCACGCCCTTCGAGACTCCGGAATCCTTTTGTGCGCGGCCTTCGGGCCCTGCCTGACCCATCTAGAGCGCCCGGCTGAGCGCGCCCCAGCCCCTCAGCCTTGTGCTCCCCGCTGCCGACTGCGCCTCAGAGCTGAGGTCGGGCGGCCACGGAAACTTTCCAAGGGCCTCAGAGGCAGCGAGGCCGAGGAACTTTACTGGAGCGCCGTGCAGCGGGGCCAGGGTAATGTCCCCGCACCGCGCTGGGAAGCGAGTGGGGAGCCGCCGCCCCTGTCCCTGATCCCTGCCCGACTTTTCTGGCCTTGGTCCACTCCACGTAACACCCCTTCAAACCCGGTGGTTAGACACAGGTCCTGGCCCTTCTGAGGGGTACTTAGCCCGGTTTTGCTGAGGAGTTGTGCTTAGCAGGAAGTTCCCTGGCTTTCCTATCTTAATTTTTTCTTATTAAATTGAGCATATAACGGTTTCTGATTTATGTGTCAAGTATTAGAGTGAATATGAAAGTAGAGGATTCTGCTTTCTTTTTCTCTGTAGATCCAGCCGTATCTAGAAGTGACAGAAAGGAAAGAAATGATGCTCCCTGTGGATGTTAACCTTAGCTTTTAATATTGCTAGCCAAGAACCTCAGGTGGTCACCCACACTCCATTGTGTAAGGCAGATGCCAAGATTTATAAACCCAGGGGGGTGGGGTGATGAGCAAGACACCTGTCGGGGAAACCTATCCCTGTGAATATAGCAAGAAGTGTACTGCTCCTCTGCCTGCACTCTAGGAACCAGGCTGTGGACAGAGATGTGGTCTATCTGGGGGAGTGGGACAGTAATGGACACCAAGGGCAGTCGGACCTCTCTTGCCTACCATGCTGGGGCCATGTCCGGTCACTTCCTGAGCAGATGGTCCAAGCATTGTGTACCTGGAAAGGAGTGGGCTTTTCCCCCAGCCTTATCCCATCCCACCTGAAGTACTTGCTTCCCTGCTGTCCCCTCACTCCACACTCAAGCCCCTTTTGGGGTTCACGAGGGCCCAGCACATAGCTAGGCATGGATTATTTGTGCTGCATAGACTCTGGTGAGCAGGGTCATTCTGTACAAAGCCAAGCCAGCCCCTACTTGAGCCACCCTCACTAGCATTTCTACGTTGACATGAGGACTTGCTGGCCAAGGTCCCTCCTGCATAACTGGTCCAGCACTTGGTCCTACTAGATCAGAGTTGCTGCTCCTACTCCTGTCACATCTGGGCTGCTTGGTTCCTCCTGTTCATTCTCAAAGCCTCTCTGGAGGTGAACCCTTAGGTCTCTTCCTAGTCCTAGGGCTCCTTTGCATTTCCCAGTTTCCAAGAGGGTAGGGCTGCAGCTCTACCATTTGTGCCACATAAAGAGTCAAGGTGAATTCATTTTACCCAAAGAGATGGACTGGGAAGGGGGCATGGAACAAGCCTAGAGCGGGGGCAGCAACAACAGGATCCTCTAACTCCAGGAGGATCCCGAAGCTGTGCAGAACCAACAGGGGCCAAGCACACCAGGCATGCCAGAGCTTGCCAGCCTCATATCTGTCTCATTCTCTCAAATGGCCCCAGTACTGGGGTAAGAGCTGGAGGGGGTCAGGGTCCACTCTACAGAATGAGCTAGGAATGAAGCGGGCAGCGCAGCAGGGCACTGGTTGATCCACAGGAGATTCTAGGGACTCTCATAACAGTGGTTCCTGTTGAGTAAGGATGTCAGTTTTGTTTTGTTTTGATACTGGGCATTGAATTCAGGACCTTGCACTTGAGAGGCAGGCATGGTGCCACTGAGCTAAGTCCCCGGCTCTGTTTTGTTTTGTTTTACAACAAGCTTATGTTAAGACCAATATGAGGTCCTGAGCTGTTCTATGGAAGCCCCAGAATTAGGAGGACATGGCATCAGGAACCCTTTGTAGGCCTTTCCAGCTGAGGGCTGCATTGGCCTATTTCAGGTTGAAAAGATGAGGCCAAAGCTGGCAAATGTCCTCAGCGGGAGTTCCAGTTCCCCCTTCTTGCATAGAGCCAGGGACAGGCTCTTGTCTTTGCCTTTGCCCGCTGAGGGGTCAGTACCCTCTAGCCAAGCAGCCTGGAGCTGCATATGGCCATCAGAGGGCAGCCAGGGCTGCCATGGCTGGCAAGACCAGCTTCACCCAGCCTGTCCCTGTGGGCTGGGACCCTACCCTCGTACCCAATTGGGAGAGTGGATCTCTTTCTCCTCTGGGCTGCCTGTCAGGGATATGGAGCTGAAAAGAAGCCTCTCTAAGCCTGGCCCTGACCCCACAGTGGGGTCTTGCGTGGACTGTGCCTCAGTGTCCACAGCACAAGTAGGTATGTTCTCACTATGTACTCAAGAGTCTTAGTTATCTAGAGGAGCACATTGGTTTTGCTGTGGTAGATACCTTTGTCTTGAGTGGTGCAGACTTTCACATGTGATTATATTGGCTGCCGGAAGGGCACATTCCACCTGTTTTCATGAATCCCACTTCTGCTCACAAAACAGGACTTGAGATCCATGTAGGGCTGCAACCTGCCAAAGCCACACTGAGCCAGTGCAGTGCCCTTACCCATGTGGCCCTGAGCTATATGCCTCACATGCCTAGTCTGGGCCTGATTCAAGCCATGGACTCAGTCTATGCCTGTGGGACCTGGGCCATGCAGTCATTATTCATGCCCGTAGCCTATTGGTCTGGCTATGTGGCTGGCCCTGGCAGCCTGGGCCAGCCTGGGCCTCATCTGGGACTTCTCTGCCCTCTGGTTGGCCCACTGACACTGACTACATCAGAATTGCAGACCTTTCCAAGACTAGCCTTGGGTCTATGGAGTATAGATACTGGCTGGGGTAACCCGGGGCTCAGTAGGGTCTAGACAGTTTGGTGGGGACTTCCAGTTGAGGGCCCATGACAAGGGTAAACCCAAACCATCCTTGTTTGGGGGAGGCAGCCTGACAAGGAGTACCATAGCTCCCTTGAACATGAAGTTCCTGGTTCTAGGTCCTTGGCCAGGTGGGGACTCCTGAGGCTGCAGACTAGCCTCAAGGGGTATTGAAAGAATGCACCATGTTCCCCATCATGAGTTATCATTAAATCTGTCTTCATATCACTGTTTTCCTGAATCAGTACTTCTGTGCTTCTGCCTCAGGGCTCCCAACAAGCTGGGTGACTAGCTGCTGTGATGAGTGCACTCTTAGAAGGGATACCCATCCTTCTGGTGGCCACCCCTCCCCTGCTTCTACAGTCACTTTGTTTTTGTTGGTACCAGGAATTGAACTCAGGACCTCGCGATTGCAAGGCAGGCAGCGGAAATACTGAGCTAAATCCCTAGCCCTTTTTGTTGTTTTTTGAGACTGGGTCTTGCTATATAGTTCAGGCTAGCCTTGAACTTGTAGTGATCCTCCTTTCTCAGACTCACAAGTTGTGGGATTACAGGTGTGTGCCCCCACTCCCAGCTCTTATAGTCACTTATGTCTTTCTACCTCCCGGGGAGCCCTACAACGCAGGAGATGCATTCTTCTTTCAGCTCTGGCATTCCCAAGTGGGTGTAGAGTGTGAGGTTCCTGAGGGCAGGAAAACCTGAGTGCATATCCTGGCCACCTCTGCCTGGCCTGAACCCAGTTTTCCCATCTGTAAAGTAAGTTGTTGTGCCCACCTAGAGGACCTGGGGGAATCAGGGAGATGTTGGTATACAACCACATGGTATAAGGCTGTGGCACAAGGCCACAGTGTGTAGCAAGTCCTGGGGAAAAGCCATCAGTTATCAGGGCACATAACTCACGTGGGACAAAATCTATTTGAACATTTAAGCTAAAAGCAAAGGTGTCCCAGAAATGTCATATCCAGAGCAAGTGCTGATTCCTGAGCTTAGTCCTCAGCTAGAAGCAGCACTTCCTCTATTGTGGGAGGGGTGTCAGTGGGTGGCACCCAACCGAGGCTGCCCCTCCCAGGTGTGTACTCACACACACACACACAGGCACACATTTGCTTTGAGCCCCCAGTTCTTCCCTGCCTCTGACCTCTGTTTTGACCTTGCACTCCATTATCTGACTCTGACATCTGGCCAGATCCTCACCACCACTTGGAGCCCCTCCCCGTGACGGAGGTGAGACAGGGACACCCACCTTTGGGGTTCCATCCCCAAAGGAAAGGTTAGCTAGAGGCTTAGAACAATTTGGAAGACACCATAGAACAGAGGGTTTAGCTCCTCTTATGGGGGTCTGTCCCAGAATGGCCATTTGAGGCCCATCCCTCCCTGCCTATCTGCTATCCTGATTTTCATTTTTTTATGAATGCTCTGAAATGATCCTAGGCTTAGATATAATGAGAGGGAATGTGGCTCCCAGGATGTTGACCCAGGCAGGAAGTGCATGGTTCCTTCTTCCTGCAGTAGAGCCGTGGGTAGGATGAGGCATAGGTACCACCTTGTCCCTCACTCTGGCCCATTCTGGTCACCCCAGTTTGAAGGCCAGGTCCCAGGTGTGGCCTGGTGTGACCATAGCTCTGGGGTCAGTAACCTGCCTGCAGGGAGGGAGGATACAGAACCTGGGCTAGCATCCAGAGCCTCAGGAGAGGCAGGCGCCATCCCTCAGGGTAGGCCTAGGCTTCAGGGTAGAGGGAACAGGGCCTGGTGGTGAAGTGTGGGCCAGTTTCACAGGAGACTGGGACCCTGGACTATACTTCCCCTACTGCCCCTGCTGTAAGGGTCCTTGGTGTGTGCTGTTTATCAAAATGAAATGGGTCCTGCCTTATGGAAGGGGAAGAGGTCACTGTCGGCTATACTGTAAACTTACCAGCGTTGGAAGTGCTCAGAAGGGAAGCTGACCTGATGTAAACTGCAGTCTCAGTTGTACATGGGGCTGAGAAAGAGCGTACGTACATGATTATGAGTCAGGGGCATGACGGATGACTTCAGGGTCAGGATGATAGCAAGCATGCTGTTTGGAGAATGGTTCAGGCTGGTACATTTTGATCCAGAGAGGACCTACCTGGCCAGGGGCTTCACACAGTGCCCTCTGATTTCCTTACAGGAGCTGGAGCCTGAAGAATGGGCGTAAAAACAACCTGATCTGCCCTAGAGAAAGGTAAGTGGCCTGGGCTTGGCCTGGGCATATTATCTCCCCACCCTGGACAGCAGCAGAGTGCCCTAGTGGGCCTGGCAGGTGTGGCTGGTAGGAATGAACTGGGCCTCAGGGAGTGTATGCTGTTGGGCAGCTTTACTCTAGATGGTGCAGCCTCCAGGCTGGACAGGGCTGCATGTGGGGGCCTCTCACCGCCTCTGCCTGGTTTCCTAGTGGCCAGAGTGTGGACAGCAGAAATCAGTTTGATGTTTGGCTTGAGGATGAGCTCATGTTAGGGCTGACCTACCAGACTGCTGTCGTTATTGAGCTGGACATTAGCTGCACCTGCTCTCCACCCACTTCAGCTTAGATATCAGCATGGTGATGTCTGGTGTTGGCCAGCCTGGTGCTCAGTTCAGGGTGGCTCCTGGCTGCCCCAGGGAGAGTAGAGTCCCTGGCTCATCAGAGCTGATGACCCTGAGGCCAAGCACCACAAGCTTTGTGTAAAAGGGCCAGACAATGTTTGAGTTTTTCAGACCTTATGGTCTCTGTCTAGCCATATCATTCTTCCATTGTAGGACAAAAACAGCCATAGACAATGGTAACAAATAATACTTTGATCACAGTTGGTGACTTTGCTGGGCTGCGGTCTCTGTAGTCTGTGTTTTGGATTTATTTTGTAATTATGGCTGTCAGCTCCAATAGCACTGAGATGTGGTTCCCGGGAAGTGTAACAGGTTCGGAGACTGAGTGGTCCCTGTGACACCTAACTCCCACCCTAACACCCTGTTTATCACAGCAACTCTGATGGTTGCTGTTGGGTTACAAAGAATGCCCCGGTAACTCTTGTCTTTCTAGCATGGCTGCCCAGTCCCAGCCAGCTGTCTACCTGTAACCCCACGGAGTGCTGTCTCTTGGAAGGCTCAGCCCAGTGCCAGCCCTGTGAATTCTCAGTGACACCTACAACCCAGGTTCATCGGTTTTGTGCTGGAGAGGAGGTGGTGGCCTCAGACCCAGTCCCCAGACCTCTCTATGCCTGAGTTTTCCTGAACCATAGGATGTAGGACAGAGGGGAGAGACTAGGTGGTCTGGCTCCTGTTTGCCTCTTCCCAAGGACCTTGGGCCCAGCCAGCTGATGAAAGCCCAGTCTGATGCTGACTGCTGTGTGCGAGGGCCGTTGTCTGGCCCAGCATCTCCAAGCACAGTCTGTGAGCCATGCAGGGGCTTCTGGGACAGAGACTCAAGTTTTGTCCGAGGTTCTCTGGCCAGAATGTGCAGGTCTTCGGACCTGGTATCGCTTGTGGCCACATCTAAGGACATCTGGGAAGAAGGGCTGGCCCCTACCTCTTTACCTCCTTGTAGACCACCACTCCCCCAGGAGGCCAGGTGAGCCGGATTAGCTGGACACCAAATGACATCTCCGGTAACGGCAGGAGAGTGGTGGGTGAAGCGCATCTGAGTCTGTACGTCGTCACCTTCTCTCTCTGCTGTTGCTTGCTCCTTTCTTGTCTTTCTTGTAGGCTTCCAGCTCTTGGTCTTGCTGTTTCCCTCTCTCTGGCCCTCTCTGTGCCTTTTCTTTTGTCTCTCTACCTCTGTAGTGCCCATTTCACTTTGTGATTGACTGATTGCGCATGTCTGCCGGGTGACCGATTGTTTATGTCTCCCTGTGTGTTGGAAGAATTAGTGACAGCACTTGTGCCACTCTGTCCTGGGCTGGGCTCCATTTCACAGGCTGGCAAGCAGCGCGCAGGTGCCGTGGAGTGCGGCCTTGCCCACACCCAGGAGGAAAATGGGGAAGGGCCTTGGAGCAACGTTAAGATAAGGGCCAGTGCAGTGCCTACGTGAGCCCCGCGTGCACCTCCTGTCACTCAGCACTTGCTCACCGTGCCCCAGGCTAGACTCTGGGTATCGAAGCCACATGGAGCCCAGCCCTGCACTTGAGGAGCCTCGGTCTGGCTGACGAACAAGAAAACCATCCGCTAACTGCGGGGTTATAGGACGGTGGTGAAAAGCACGGCTCTTGGCGAAAGGGGACCGGAAGGCCGTGTGAGAGTGATGCGTGCTGATTTGAGGCTTGAGTGGCAAGGGTCGTTGTGGACACAGGTGCCCTTCACACAACAGGGCTAGCCCTACTGTACCTTTCAGAAGTCAGCACCCACCTGGCCTCCCTCCACGCTGGGGAGGTTTTGGTGGGTTCCTCAGCTCTTGGTGTGAGTCTTTACGTATGAGAGGTATTAATTCTGTGCTCATCTCTCTGCCTGCTGCACATTTTTCTCAGTTTTTAAATTTTTGTTATGACAGTTTTTGATGTTCACAAATTTTTTATACTTTATAGAAAAATGTTGACAATTTTTCCCTTTTCTAGTTATTCCATCATTTTGTATGTAGTCCTCTGCAGCCTGGAGCCAGAATAACGTGTCTGTCTTCTCTTCTGCTAGATGTTGTTTCTTTAGTTTTTTACACTCAAGATTTAATCCACCTCAAATTTATTTTGACATAAACACGAGTCGAGGGTTTAACTTTGTTTTTCTTGATGCATTTGAACCATTTCTTGCCTAGCATCTTCTGTCACTAGAAATTGGATATGTTACAATGTCCTCATGCCTTCAGGTTTTGTCTCTGGTCACAGGCACTCAGTACCTAGTCAGCACTTACTGCTGTTAAAAAGAACAAGTAAAAGCCAGATGTGGTGGTACATGCATGTAATCCCAGTACCTGGGAGGCTGAAGCAAGAAGAAAGCTGTGAGATCAAGGCTAGCCTATGCTACATAGTGTGTTCATGGCCACCATGAATTATATAGCGAGATCCTGTCTCAAAAAACCAAAACAGAAAAACAACCCAAGTCGAAGCCTGGCATGGTCATGCATGCCTGTAATCCCAGCACTCTGGGAAACCGAGGAAGGAGGATCACAAGTTCAAGATGACTAGGCAGTTTAGTGACTTACTGACTCTCTGTCTAAAAAATTAAAGGGCTGCAGATATAGCTCAATGCAAAGGCCCTGGGTTCAGTTCTCTTACTGAAAAAAAAAAAAAAAAAGGTGAGGGAAGACCCTCACCGTCAGTCTTTGTTTTTAGAGTCCTGGTTATTCCACATATGTATTTCTACTGATGTGTTAAACCACTGCCAGGGTCCCCTCGCTGGGTGACCCCTGGAGCTGGCACTCCCTAAGCAGTGGGTTTTGGTACACTGTGGCCTGTTTACCAAGCATAGGACCTGGCCCCTATATGGTGGGCCCTCCCCAGAACCCTAAAAAGCAATTCAGGCCTCCTTGAGGCCTCCTTTAAATGCCACATTGTTAGTTATAGCTGGGGTTATTGCAGGACTTTCAGAGTACCCAACCCCTGTGCAACCCTTTGGCAAGGGGTGTGAGTCTCCTGGTGTCAGCTGGCATGGTGTCTTTGTCACTTTTTTTTGTTGCTAAGACAAAATACTGGACATCCACAAATTAAAGGAGGAAAGGTTTATTTAGGCTCATAGTTTGTAGAGATTTCAGCCCATAGTCCGCTGGTTCCAAGGCAGTGTGGCAGGGCAGTGGGGCATCATAGAGGAGAAACAGTTTATGCTGTGGCAGAGGGAACGCAGGAAAGCAGCAAGCAGCAGCCTGCATTTCCTTCCTTTAGTTCCATCTGGGCTATAAGCCTGGTGCTACCCACACCCAGAGTGGAACTTCCATCGTCTATATCCAGTACTATGCTAATTCTGATCAGTGGACTACTTTAGTACCACACATCTTAATCATACTATCACATGCTCCAGATAGAGCCAGCTTTGAAAAGTTCTACCTATGAACACATGAGGCTTTGGGGAGACATCTAGATGCAAGCCGTTACATTCTGCCTCTGGTCCCCAATAGACTCATGCACATCCCTTTATGCAAAAGGCATTTAGTCCATCTCTAAGACTTGCCAAAGTCCTAACACTTTCAGGCATTGCTGAAAAGTCCAAGTCCAAAGTCTCTTCTGAGATTTAAAGCAAATTCTTAGCCGTGAGCCCCTGTATAAAGGTAAAGAAAGTTAAACACTTCTGACATACAGTGGCACAAGATAAGCATTTCTATTCCAAAGGCACAAATAGGAGGATAGAAAAAGAATGGGACCCAAGCAAGTCCAAAATCCAGCAGGGAAAACAAGTCCCATATTTCCATGTCTAGCATCCGGTGTCGTCAGTGGCAAGATGTGAACTCCAAAGGGCTTGGGTGCTCCGTCCCTGTGTAGCACCGCTGGTGGTTGCAGCTCTCACAGCTTCTCTCTTGGGCCAGTTTTGCTCCTTCCTTGCAGCTTCCCTCAGATGATCCACGTTCCTGACTTCTCCGACCTTCTGGGGTCTCCACTGCACTGTCAGCTTCACCCTTGCAGCTTCACACACGGCCCTCTCAGGGGCACCCTGCCCGGCCTCCCAGACCTTCTTCTGAAATCTAAGTGGAAGCCTTCCTGACCCCACAACTCTTACATTCTGCATGCGCCTAAAACCAGCACCATGCGGACGATGCCAAAGTCTGTTGCCAGATGGAGCAGTAGCCAGGCTTCCTGCTCTCTCGACTCTAGGGGTTGAGTGCCTGGATTGCTGAGCACTGTGAACCAAATCCAGAGGAAAAAATTCTCTTAAGCCACTGCCATCCTGGAACATGGTGCTCTGGAGTTTTCTTCTCAAAGGAAAATATTTCACCTTTGCAGTTTTGAGGCTGCAAAGAACCTATTGGTTCTTGTGATGTCCTCAGGTCATCTTTTCTATTGTCCTGTTCTTTTTCGGCAACCAAGTTCTCCTCTGCTCTGTGTTTACAGTCCACAACTTTACCAGAGCTTCCTTTCTGTCCAGACTCAAAACATTTTAAATCATTCTGCTGGGCCTTTTGCTCTTAGTTCTTTACATAGATCTGACTAAAGCCCCCAATAGTAGCCATGCTACTACCTCAACATTAGACTGCCTTGAAATTTCTTGTGCCAGATTAATTACTCCACTGTCCTTAATCTTAGTCTCAGGCAAAGTCTCTAGACATGAGCAAAATGCAGACAAATTTTCTGC